GTGCTCAAAAGCTTCCGCTGCTTTTCCGCCTGCCACGCAAAGGTCTTATTGCGGGGTCTGTTTTACAACATTGCATCCGTGTTGTGGACGAATACTTTAAACAGCTGGAGCCTGTGGTGTTCAAGTTCGGCTTCACCCATAACCCGATATGGCGCTGGACGAATGCTCTGTATGGCTATTGCCAGGACAAGGATATTTGGGCCCAGATGGTTATACTGCACGTGTCCCACGAGGCCTTCGGGCCTGCAATGCTTGAAGCAGCATTAATCAATCAGTACCAATGCAACTCGCAGGCGATGATGGGATTTAAGGGTTTAGGGTAAGTTCCGTGGGAGACACACAGAGAGAGAGAGAGAGAGAGAGAGAGAGAGAGAGAGAAACGAGATTCGCTACAACAGACGAATGCGGAGCAAGCGAGAGACAGAGCGATATAATAGAGCAGAGCGAAGAAGAGAGAGAGAGAGAGAGAGAGAGAGAGAGAGAGAGAGAGAGAGAGAGAGAGAGAGAGAGAGAGAGAGAGAGAGAGAGAGAGAGAGAGAGAGAGAGAGAGAGAGAGAGAGAGAGAGAGAGAGAGAGAGAGAGAGAGAGAGAGAGAGAGAGAGAGAAACGGGACGCAGGTTAAAGACGCAGATGGGTCGCGATGGGGAGAGAGAGAGAGAGAGAGAGAGAGAGAGAGAGAGAGAGAGAGAGAGCGAGCGAGCGAGCGGGAAATAACAGAAATCTTTGCACAGATATATTAGGAGAATTTAAAGCCGAGGCCGACCTGGATGCCGCAATGTTCGGCAAGGAGGAGACACTGTCACGGAAAGCACGACCTCAGACGATGTCTTCATGACATATTTGGTGTACAGATCATTCAAGCATCCGCCCAGTGGAAATGAAAGAAGCTTCAAGAGAAAGCTTCGCGCATAAAGGTTTCACTGCCGGTATCTAGGTCGTACAAGTGCTTGATGCGAGAACAAATAAATCTACTTGCACCCATGTACTTGCACGTGTGACTCTGGCAATCGATCAGCATGTCCTTGCCACAGCGAAGAATAACTTGAATGATTACCGTTGCTTTGTGCCGAGGCCTCTTGTTCCTCGACTATCCGTGCAGCTCGGAATGTGGTGCGGGACATCGGGGAGAAAGGGGCTCGTGCTAGCGGCGGTTTGCTAGAACTGTCCAGATGCAAAGAGGATGACGCTGAGAGGGACACTCACCGTCTGTTAGTCAAGCGGTATCGTCTCAGTCTAGAGAAAGAAATCCCCCTCAAATACCTCGAGCTGAAGAACAAACGACTCGCCATCTTGCGACTTCGGGACTGGATGCAATTCCTTATCGATTCTCATTGTTGGCACATCGTGACTGGGCTTGTTGGCCGGGACGAGGCCCGAGAAGAGGCCATACTCAATGAATTCTGGTCGAGGTACAAAGTCTCCCACCCCAGCCACCCCATATTCCAATTGGAGGCAAAAGGTCTGTACCTGGGCAGATGCGCCCCGCTGATTTATCACGGCGACGAAGGACGAGGCAAACGCAGAACAGCATTTCTGGTCACCAGCTATTCGTCGATCCTAGGGCGCGGCAGCGCCCCTGCAGACAAAGCTCGCAAACGAAACGGAGTCCGAAAAGACTATCTGAAACTTCGAACGAACTTTCGAGGTCACTCGTTCACGAACCGTTTCTTCCAGGCAACCCAGAAGCGAATTCAGTCATTTCGTTTGTGTATAAAAGTATTTTAAGTGCTATATAAAGTATAAACGATGGTTTCTCAAGTCTTATATAAGTCAATTTACCCAACATCTTAAAATTGATGCAAGTCGAAAATATGTAGAAGCCCAACCCGATCCCCAGAAACCATAAAGTTGATCAACCATATTTGCGAGCTAAGGCTGGCTGGCCTAAGGCCATCTACGACAACGAGGAAAATGGAGCTTTCGAGTTGCTTCTTCAGAACTGCAAAGATGAGAACGACTTCTTGATGTATCAAGGCTTATGGGACCAAGGACGACACAAAAAGTTTCATGCCGTCATTCTTGCGGTCACAGGAGATTGGCCGTGGCTTTGCAAGTCTGGAAGACTCCTTCGGAATTTTAACCATGCCGTCAAGAAGCCCAAAGATGCGGAAAACCCAACAGGGATATGTCACCTTTGTTTGGCGGGGCGACGGGAGCACGATTTCGAGCACATACATACAGAAAGGCCGTCCTGGCTAAGCACTTTTTTGCAAGAAGACCCCTTCGATGAAGCCTCGGTATTGGCAACACTTCCGCACGAGCCTGGGGCGGCTGCCTCGATCTTCCGATTTGACTTGTGGCACTCGTGCCACTTGGGCATTTGCAAGCCGCTGATTGGTTCAACGCTGGCGCTACTCAGCGAAACTTATGCTGGACGGTCCAGAGACGCCCGCTTCATGCTTTTATCAGACGACTTCCTGACGTGGTGTCGGGAGAACAAGCGGCAAGCTCTTTTGCACAAGGTGACAAAGGAAACAATATGTTGGCCCAAATCCACAGAGTTCCCTAGCGGCTCATGGTTCAAGGGTTCCTTGTCAACCACCTTCTGCGAATTTATCGAAGCGACCTTATCAGACAAAACCTTTGAGGACCCATTGCTGACGAGGAGTGTCGAGGCTGTGCAAGCCTTGAACAAGTTTCTTTCGGGCTTGTATGAAAGCGACGTGTTCCTCGATCGTCACACGGCAACAACTTTGGGTCACTATGGCCTGCGATTTCTCAGGAGATATTCGTGGTGCGCTACAGAGGCTGTGCGCCAGCGTCGATGCCTTTTTAACTTGCTTCCGAAATTACATTGTGTACACCACATCTGCCTTCAGGATCTCATCGAGCCGGCCCAGCGCCATGATTACATCATCAACCCCCTCGTGTACTCGGTGCAGCTTGCCGAAGACTATATTGGTAGAAATTCGCGAACCAGCAGGAGGCTCCACCCGGCCACAGTTACGAAAAGAGTAGCGGAGAGGCATCTGCAGGCTGCATACAGGCAGTATCTAAAGGCAGGCTTCTTGGTGGAGGATGCACCGGCAGCCAGCAGTGAGCAAGGATGACAGCACACACCGAGATTTGTGTGGGAATAGTGGCTTAAATTTCCTACACAGTGTAGAACATAATATGGTAAATATACATGGTCCCACTCGAGCTGTGTCTTCCTTGAGTGCCCGGCATGGCGTCTGATCGAAGTCCGTCGCGACGACAAAGGTCCAAAGGGCTTTGGGAAGTTGGTTTTATCTTCGGCGGGGGCTCTGGCTTGAACTTGTCGGTGTGGGATACATATGGAATCGTTAAGGATTGGGTTTGTGGAAAGGTGAGTTTACGAAAAGCTTCAAAGATCTTGGGCAGGTGAGGCTTTTGAAAGGTTTTGGTTCGCAGGTTACTTCAGGGGGTATCGAAGGATGTTGTTCCGAATGACTGTAGTGAGGTTTCGTACCGAAACAGCTGATCCTCCAGATATCCCAAAACCCGGTTTCTAAACAAAACCCCAGTTCTCTTTTTAATAACCTGGTTATTTTTCGTTACCGACTATTTATTAGGTTGTAGGGGGTCTAGGTAGCCATCAAAGCCTGGAATTGGGGAGTCGGGGCCTCAGGGCCTGGAACTGGGGATTTGGGGCTTGGGGGACTGGAATTGGGGATTTGGGGCGGGGTTGGGGATTTGGACAAATTTTGTTGATATTTCAGCTTCGCCTTGGCCTTGGCCATGGCTTTGCCCGTTCCACACTAGGATTTGTGTTTTTTCTCAACCACGAAATTGGGCGTTACTTCAATGACGGTTCAATTCTTTAAACCGCCAATTTATTTAAACCTCCAATTTAATTAAACTGAATTATAGTTGTCGCTTGCTTTCCTTAAATACCGCTTTCCTTCTGCTCTTCAAACCACAACCTGCGCTGGCGCATCTTCGGCGTAAGCCGTCTAAAATTTAGAGTTTAGGGTTTAGGGTTACCTTTACTATTGGGGGTTTAGGGTTCATGGTTCAGGGTTCAGGGTTTAGACCATTTCGGGGGTTAAATATTTTCCTTATATTATAGTATGGGGAAGTAGAGAAGCTTGTTTCTCTACGCCCCAAACCCTAAACCTAAGGAACTATACACTGGATGGGTACATGGACCCTTAAACCCTAAACCCTTATGGTACTCTTATGGTACGCTTATAGAACCCTTATGGTACCCTCATATCGGCTTCCAGAGCTTCAAGGGCTGCTTGAGGGAAATATCTAGGACTTTCGGGAATGGTTAAGGGTTTGGGGCTTCGGATTTGGGGTTGGGGTTCAGGGTTTGGGGAAGATTTTTTTGCTTATTGACTGATAACTCAACTTTTCAACTTTGGGGGTTCTTATAAGGTAGTCGATTGCGAAAGTTTCAACTTTTGCTTCCTTACGTCTTGGGCCAGTGAGTTTGCAACCTTTACAAAATCGCGAAATCTTCGGTTGCATTCCTCAGCCGGGCCCTAACTCCCTACATAAACCCTCAGCCGCAACCCAAGCAGCTTTCGAAGGACAGCAAGAGCAACACCAAACTCTTTATTGCGCACGAAAAAAGAGCCCTCAACCGGAAACTGAGGAACGCCCTTTCTAAGATCCCGTTGTAATGAAGAGCCCCTCTTTCAAGTAGCGCCCCTTTAAAGAAGAACAGGCTGTTAAAGAGCCTGCGCTGGTAAAGAAGAAGAGCCCCGTTTAGACAACCTCCTTATTCAAGATCACCCTTTTCAAAGAACTCCGAGAATCCAGGCATGGGCTTAGAGTTTAGAATAGAGTTTGGGTGTATTATACTATACTTTATCATAAGGAACTCCTCCAAAACACGTTATTGGTAATTCTTTAGGTCCCTATTTTCAGGATTTTGGGTACGTTTTCCATTTTATTTAGGGTTTTTGGTAATTGTTCAGGCCCTTATATTATTTAGGGTTTAGGGCACATTATACTATTTAGGCCCCTATATTTCGGGTTCAGGGCACATTCTACTACCGGCGCCCCCTTTAATTAAAAAAGAGCGGTGAGGCATGGGCATCTCCGTGGCCGACCCCGCGACGCTGGTGAAGCTGGGCTCCCTGAGCTCCAGCTCCTACGACTCCTCGAAGCTGTGGCCTTCGTAAGGGGCACTTTGGGGGGCTCCTTTAATGGGCTTGGGGTCCCTTTAATTATGGGTGCGGTAATAGGGCTCGGTTTAGGGTTTAGGGGTTGTTTTTAAGGGCACTTTGGGTGGGGGGGGGGGGGGCTCCTTAAGGGTATGTTTGTAGGAGTTAGGGGTTTAGGGTTTAGGGGTTCTTTAAGGGCACTTTGGAGGGCTACTTTCATGGGCTTCTTAGTTTAAGGGTATTGTTGTTCCTTAAGGGCACTTTTGGGGCTCCTGTCTACGACTCCTCGAAGCTGTGGCTTTTCAGGGGGGTTTGGGGTCCCTGAAATTAAGGGTTCTGTAATAGGGCTCCTTGAAGGCAGGGGTTTAGGGTTTAGGGGTTGTTTAAGGGCACTTTGGGGGGGCTCCTTTAATGGGTTCCGGGTTCTACAACAGGGTTCCTTAGGCCTTGGTCATTTTGGGCCTTGATGGCTTAGGTCCGGGGCTTAGGGTTTCGGGAGTTCTTGGAAGCCTTGGCGGCAGGAACGGGTTCAGGGTTCCGGGGGTTCAGGGCTTTAGAGTTTACGAAATGGGATTTAGGGTTTAGGGTTTAGGGCTCGAGAGTTTAGGACATGTAGCCTCCAAGACGAGCCCAGGAAGATGTGGATGGCCCTCTTGGTGCTCGTGGTCACGGCGACCCTGTTGTCGGCCAAGATCCCAGGCGCTCCTTTGATTGGCATCGTGCTCGGGCCGCTCTTAGGATTGTTCTTAGGGGTACTTAGAAATATGTGTGTTAATTTTCTGTTATTATAATCCCCAAGAAGCAGCTAAAATTGCAATTTTTGCTAGAGATAGATTATTCTGTCTTCAAGAATATCCCGGCAAGAACGAGAAGACAACTCAGCAGACACCGTTAATGATCGTCTAGTCTATTGTCTTGAGAAGGAATAGGAAAGCTTTTTGAATGGCCTCCGAGCACTGCCCAGGTCTTGGGAACTGTCGTCTGCTGGATCGAGGGCTGGGTGAACCTAGGCTGATCATGTCTCTCTAGGCTGTCGAGTTCGCCCTATACCCTAAACCCCTAACCCCAAAAACCCTCAGAGTTAAGGCTTATGCAGGCCAGATAGCCTTGTAAAGACCTCTTGTGGGGCTATGTGTTGCCTCAAGGGATTCTTTTCAGGCGCTGCGTTGGGCTTCTATTGCCTCCCAGCTTAAGCCTACCGGCAATGCTACCATGAGCCTTGAAGTTTGTCGTTAGACAGACTTCTAGCGCTTCTTTGGTTTAGGGGTTCTGATATCCCTACTATAAACGGTAGAAGTTTCGTCTGTTGCTAGTACTCTTGTTTGTGTGTGTTCTCCAATCTTGACTCGCTGAGTACCGCGCCTCAAAGCTACTAACTATCTCTAAATGTGCGGTAACCCGTCGCACTGATCCTATCTTGTTTCAGGCCCTGGGAGTAAGTTGATAGCATCGTCAACAAACCCGCTAGGAGCACCACAGCAGCTTGATCTCAAGCTTGGGAAGCCTGGTGTATTGTCAAACTCCACACACTCCCAACGTGGATTCCTGGAAAACGAGGCTTTCTGGTTTCCGAGGATCCGCAAAAGAGTTCACTAATCCGGAGAAGGCTGTAGCCGAATGCAGCCCAATCTTAAACCTGGTCGGGCCCGCTTTCATCCCCACAGCAATGTTGAAGGCTCTACCAAGATATCACCCAACACCCTAAAACTCCACACGCGGCGGGCCCTGAATCCTCTTTTGGACCCGTACTGCACCCTTTCAGGCCATGTTCTAATTAGTGGAGCCCCTGTGCCAGCCGAATCTAAAGCCCTAGCCCTTCTAGAATATGTGCTGCAGCTGCTGCACAATGACACGCCAGGATATATACATACTCCGAACCCGTTCCTCGCCCTAAACGCTAAACCCCTGAACCCTACATCCTAAACCGCCTTGTCCCCAACATATTACCGAGCCAAGGAATGGTGTGGAGGGCTCCGTCTTCGGCTACCCTTTCGGGACCGAAGGCGACACTGGGCTGTGCTCTTCATACCCGCTTTCTTTTTCAGTTTCAGCACACCAGGGCCTTGCAGGAAGGAAGAAAGGTGATAGCATCAACAACAGCGAGACTTCTGTAAGTTATGCCGTAAGTATAGGGGATAAGCTAGAAAGGGACCTACACTTCCGATTGCCAGCATGCTGTTGACCCTATAAAGCCTTATGGCATTGCTATGGTATATTATGGTATGTTATAGTGTGTACATATATATATATACATATATGGTATATTATGGCATGTTATTAATGGTATGTTATAGTATATTTCCGAATCCAAGCAGCCCAGGATCGGTCCGCCAAGGACTTCCACATCTTTGTGCCTCACGGCGTAGCCTCCCGGCAACAGCAAGAGAAAAGGTTTAGGGTTTAGGGCAAGGGATGCCGTATCTTTATCTTTGCGGTTCTACTCGGGCTTTGTAAGGGGGTGTTAGAGGCTTTCTATGTGCAAGTATGCGGGGGGGGGGGGAGGGGGGTTAGGATTTTCACTGGTCTTTTCCATGGGTTCTTTAGAGGGGGTATGGGCTTTCTTCATACCAGGCATACTGGTTTGAATGCAGATCCGATCGTGTGCTGCTTGGGTCAGGTCGCAGATGTTTTGAAACACCGTTTATCCCTAAAGCCCCAAAGCCCTAAACCTAAACCCTTTACCTCCTGGGCCCAAGAAAAGCCTTAAACCCTAAGCCCTGGAAAGCCTCAACCCTGACCCCAAAGCCTAAACCCATATATGGGTGGTTGTCAAGATTATGGATCTTTGTTGGGTACCATAAATATTAGATGCCGTATTATAACAGGGACCCCCAAAAAGGGACCCTAATTTTGACAACCACCCATATGTCCATATGTAGATAGAGGCGCTTACAGGAACCCTTAAAGGAACCCTTATAGATCCCTTTAAAGGGACATTTAAAGGAATCCTTAAAGGAACCCTTAAAGGGACCCTTAAAGGAACCCTTCTAGATCCCTTTAAAGGGACCCCAGGAGTCTCTGGGAGGTTTTACGGGATTCCGGTACACGCCCTGAGCCTTTTTGAGGTCGCCAGCCCTCATCTTTCTGGCCTGACCGGTGCACTTTTCGAAGGTTTCGACTGGGCTCCCTGCACGAAAGAGGGTTTTTTTCCATGAGTTCTAGGGAGGTTTGGGGTTTTTAGTGTGGTTACATGTGCCGCCACTGTGGCAGATATACGAGGGGTTTAGGGTTTGGAGATTTAGGCAGTGGTGTGAGGGGTTTAATCGGCGGTTGAGGGGTCTGGGCTTTAAAATGTGCGGGCCAGAATAGTTTCCAATACGATTCTCGGGCTCCTCAAGATTATAGTTGTACTCGAACTTACTCCAAAGCCTTCCTGAACTTGTTCAGGTCACTTTGTCAAGAGGGCCTCTCTGTAGCTGTCTTACTAGATTTGGGCGAAGATGGCACCGACAGAGTCAAGAGGTTCTGAACGTTGCTTTTTGTTGATGGCTCGGGGTTCGGGGTAGACTGAGACATACAGTGCTGAATACCATATTCGAGATTGTGCCAAGTACACGTCTTCTTCTTGCCGGCTTACTGAGTTCCCCCCTGCTCCATGTGATGCCTGTGGCATCGTTGCATGGAGCACCTATCGTTCGTGGACGTTAAGGATTGTCGGCCTAGGGTCTTGAGGATCATGTGGGGTTCCTTCTTGGTTCCAGTAGCTGTGGGTAACGTGTCGGATTTGGCGGGCTAGGTTTTAGGGCTTTTGCAACATGTCGGGGTCATCATAGGTTTTGTGTGGCCTAAAGTGACTCCTGTACCAGCAGCTTCAGCCCAAGAAATCAAACCCTTCTTGACGTCCAGCCGGGGCGGATCTTCGCGAGTCAGCGGTGCTCCCTTCGTGCAAGGCTTTCCACCCGGAGACCAGCGGCACGTTTTGGACGGCTGTGGCTACCTTCTGCTGCTCGGAGCCCACAGTGCCAATGCCCCACATGAGTGTAAAGGAACAACCCAGAAAATTAACAAAAGCATTGACAAGCAAATCTCCTAGCCCAAGCGAGCATGCAAGAACAAGCCCATACAGTAAGAGTCTATAATAGGGCTACTATTAAGGCCCTAATATAACTATATGATGAAAATTAATCAACTATGACTGCGTCACAGCTGAATCACCGAAGTCCGTCGAAACCTCTGGAGCTGCACATGTGACGATGCCCTGCCTTTTGCTGCTTCGTATGGGAGTTTCCGAAAATTAGGGTACCTTATTTTGGGGTCCTTATAATAAGGATCCTGATATCTCGGGTGCTATATTAGGGTCCCCTATTTTCGGAAACTCCCGTATAGGTGTTGCAGAGGTCCACCAAATCGTGCAGTCTTGTGGTATTACATGCTCATCACAACTTGTCAAAGCTCCCTCCGATGTAGCTTGCAAGTCGTGGGTTAGGGTTTCAATCCTGTTTCGGGCTTAAGAGTTCAGAGTTTATTCGAGGCTCATTGGCCATTTTGGTGCTTAGGCTTATTTGGGTGAAAAGCCCTAAGGCTACACAGATTTGCTCGACTCCTCCGGCACTTTCTTCGCAGTGGCGAAGGTCGCTGGGCTCACGGACGCCCGTGGCAACCTGCCCCTGGCGCGCCAGAACATGGCATACTTGGCCGACGCACTCTCGATGATGGCCCGATGGGGGTTTGCGACAAATCGACTTTACAGGGTGCAGGTTTTTCCTTAGCTATGGACATGGTCTAGCTTGGGGCCCCTCATTTCTGAAATCTGCACATGTCGAAGAGACTGCGAGACTGTAAGATGCTCTGGGGGTTGAAGGCCCTGAAGACCCTCGAACCCTGAAGGTTCTGTACCTGAAATCCCCTGTAGCCGTGAAAGCCAAAGCGCACTGCTTCGTAGTTGAGTAGGTAAGCTTCAGCCTTCTTGGGTGTCTTTACTTTCT